CCCCCCCCCCCCCCCCCCCGGACTCCCCTTACCATTCTGGCTCCACATGTTTGCAAAACACGCTGCCCGGTGGGTCGGTTTGTGTGTTACACAGGGCTGCAGACAGAGGGAGGGGGGAGCAGGGGAGGGCTCTGGCTGCTGGAGGCCAATGGGAGCAGCTTAATCGGCCAAGCCGCCCAATCAGCAGCCGCACTCTGCATGGAAGGGAGGGAGGGAGGGAGGCGAGGGAGAAAAAAACCCCAGACATTTTAACTTTGTTACCAATTCCTCCCGGACGGCTATTTAGAGACGCAAAAGCCGGACATGTCCGGGGAAATACGGACGGATGGTAACCCTAAATTTGCTGCTTTTTAGCATTCAGTGGAAGTGGAAAATTAGTGTAACTTTCCTACTATGTTGTGGGCAGTGTGGTCTGGCTGGAAAAGTCTGAGCTGAGACTTCCCTGCTTAACATTGTTCATAGCTATATCTGGCTAGAAACCACACTCAGGGTAAAGCAAGGGACTGTGTGTGAGGGGTATGGGGTGCAAGGCAGCTCTCTCTGGCTTGGCTAAACAGCACAGCTCCCGTCCCCCTCCTCCTGGGTTGGTGTGGTAAGAGCTTCTCCTCCTGTTGCAGTCAAGGTTAATCACTGATCATACACACAGTCAAGAAGACAAAAACAGAGTTCAGGCAAATCAGCTGGGAGCTCTAGGTGCTATCAGAATATAAATAATAATCACGGCTGATATACAGCACATCTTTTGTTTAATAAATAATAAGGCCCTTCTTTGAATTGCAGGATGATTATCACATAATTGCGGCTGAGTTGCGGACAAGACATAGAAAATTGCGGAGAAGTAATAATGGACCTTTATTAATTGCAGTAATTTGGAAAAGATGGAGAAGACCTGTTTGTTTTAGAAAAATTTGCTGAAACAGTATAAACACTCAAGTATTATGTTATGCCTGCTAATTTTTTGATAACCAGACATTTTGCTGCAACTATATTAAAGTCATTAATGTGTGGGGCTGATAGCGGGAGCCCTGCCGTGTATGGGGCTGACAGCCCAAGCCCCAGCCACTATCAGCTCAGCTAAATAGGATTCTACTTTACTAATGGGGGGAAAAGTGTGTGTTGCAAACCTGAAAATGTATGCAAAACTTCAGACAGTGCAAAGTAAGCTAATTAAAATCAAAATTCCAGCGCAAGCCTAATATTGCGGGAATCCGCAATTTCCGCAATATTGCAAATTAAGTAGGGCCTTAATAAACAATATATTTACATGTTTTTAAAAAAAGAAAGAAAAGACGGAAGCATATTTTGTCCCTTGCCAGCCAAATTTGGGATCTAGATAAACAAGGAGCTTTAAAAATATTTCTTTACCCGTTTAAAGTCTTGCACTAGAGCTTGGGCTCCACATTGTCTGTTGTTGATTTTTCAAATTAAAAAAAATGACATTTAATCCTTGCATAAATGTGCTGAGTTTTAATTTATAATATGGAAGCAAAAGATGTGTCACAAGAATAAGAAAACCTTAATACTGTATGAAAAATGATTTTCAAAGGCTTTCCTTTTTGCTGATTCTTTTGTGTTCATGTCATCATAATAACAATGCAGTCAGTTCTTGGGGAGAGTTTTTAGTGCCTTTTGTATTAATTAAATGTAATTCAACAAAATGAAGTTGACATTGAAGACAAAAACTGTGGAAAATTTTGAATGCTTTACTTTTCAAACAAATTCATCATCACATATTGTAGAGAAACGTAACAAAAAGGGCCTGATCCGAAACTCGTTGAAGTCCATGGAAAGACTCCAATTGATTTTGTTGGCCTTTGGCTCAAGCACTATTTAGAATATATTAGAGCTTACTAAAAAAAAAAAAAACCCCCCCCCCCAAAAGTATTAGCTATGAGTAGCTACATGAGGACACAAGGGCCCAGATCCTCAATACCTTTGAGGATCTGGGCCCAGAAATGGGAGTTAGGTGCCTAAATACCTTTGAGGATCTGGGCCCAGAAAGCCCAATGGAGAATATTAAAGGTAACACAAGCTTGGAGCCTCTGGGGGTATGTGTACACTATAACGTAAGCCCAGTGTTTGAATTTAGGCACAAGCCTGGCCCACCTTCCATCTACACACAAGTCTCACTAACTCAGGGCTTGGACCCGGCATTCCAGGACCCTACGGGGGTGGAGGGTCTGAGCCTTAGTCAAGCCAGGGCTTAGGGCTTACATTGCAGTGTAGCTATACCTTGAGAATTTGCTCTACCATCTACAAGCTGTATGCCAGCTGCCTCGCGGCAAGGATCACAGACTGGTCAGTGTGCGGGGGCGCCGTCAGCTCAGTGCAGAAGGGTTTCATGTCCTGCGAGGGATGCTACGAGCACAACTTCCTCCTTCAGACGGTCATCCAGGAGGCCAGGAGGTCCAAGAGGCAGTGCGCAGTAGCATGGCTTGACCTGACCAACGCCTTTGGGTCCATACCCCACCATCACATCTTTGCCACCCTGGGAGAGTTCGGGATGCCAGAAACCCTCATCCAGATCCTCCGGGACCTCTACAAGGACTGCACCACCACCATCCGCGCCACAGACGGAGAGACGGACGCCATCCCTATCCACTGCGGCGTGAAACAAGGATGCCCCCTTAGCCCCATCATCTTCAACCTGGCCATGGAACCGCTCATCCGAGCCATCTCCAGCGGCCCGACCGGCTTCGACCTGCACGGCAAGAAACTCAGCATTCTGGCCTACGCGGACGATCTGGTCCTGACCGCGGACGACCCAGAGAGCCTCCAAGGTATGCTAGATGCCACCAGCCGAGCTACTGACTGGATGGGGCTCCGCTTCAATGCGAAGAAGTGCGCAACTCTGCACATTGACGGCAGCAAAAGGGACTCGGTGCAGACAACGGGGTTCCAGATCCAGGGTGAGCCCGTCATCCCCCTGGCAGAGGGGCAGGCATACCAGCACCTGGGCACACCAACAAGGTTCCGTGTCTGGCAGACACCCGAGGACACCATCCAGGAGATCTTGCAGGACGCCGCCAAGATTGATGCCTCCCTGCTGGCACCGTGGCAGAAGATAAACGCCCTGAACACCTTCCTGATCCCACGCATCTCGTTCACCCTAAGGGGATCCACCATGGCAAAGGTGCCCCTCAACAAGGCAGACAAGATCATCCGGAAGCTGGTGAAGAAGTGGCTGTTCCTTCCCCAGAGAGCCAGCAACAAGCTGGTCTACATCGCCCACAGGCGGTACCAACGTCCCCCGCATGGGTGACCTGTGCGACGTCGCGGTGATCACCCACACCTTTCGCCTGCTGACATGTCCCAACGCCACGGTGAGGAACATTGTGGCGAATGCCCTGCGTGATGCGACAGAGAAGTGGATTGGCAGAGCCCCCTCGAACCAAGACATTGCCACCTTCCTGAGCGGCTCCCTGGATGGGGAATTCGGACGGGACGGGCGCGACATCGCTTCACTGTGGTCCCGCACTTGCAACGCCACGCGTCGCCTGGGGAAGCGCATCGGCTGCCGCTGGGAGTTGTGCGAGGAGCGCCAGGAGCTGGGAATCCGGGTGCCACAGATCAGGTCCGACGACAACACCGTTGTTACCCCGACGGCCAGGGGCTTGCTGGAGAGGACTCTGAAGGCCGCCATCCGCTCGCTGTACGTGGAAACCCTGAAGCGTAAACTGGACCAGGGTAAAGCCTTTGAGTTGACCAGCAAGTGGGACGCCAGCAACCACTTCCTCGACGGGGGCGGCTTCACCTGTTTCGCCGACTGGCGGTTCATCCACCGTGCCCGGCTCAACTGCGTCCCGCTCAAGGGAGCCGTCCGCCATGGGAACCGAGACAAGCGTTGCAGGAAGTGCAGCTACCCCAACGAGACCCTGCCCCACGTCCTGTGCAGCTGCAAACCCCACTCCAGAGCCTGGCAGCTGCGCCACAACGCCATCCAGAACCGCCTGGTGAAAGCCATCGCACCGCGCCTGGGGGAGATCTCTGTGAACTGCACCATCCCCGGTACCGACAGCCAGCTACGACCTGACGTGGTTGTCACCGACGAGACCCAGAAAAAGATCATCCTCGTCGACGTCACGGTCTCCTTTGAGAACAGGACCCCGGCATTTCGCGAAGCCTGAGCTCGTAAGCTGGAAAAGTACGCCCCCGTGGCTGACACCCTGAGAGCGAAGGGCTATGAGGTGCAGATGGACGCCCTGATTGTCGGAGCCCTGGGCGCCTGGGACCCCTGCAACGAGTGTGTGCTGCGGACCTGCGGGATCGGTCGACGCTATGCACGTCTCATGCGGCGCCTCATGGTCTCAGACGCCATCCGATGGTCCAGGGACATCTACATCGAGCACATCACCGGCCACCGACAGTACCAGGAGGCGTGAGCCAGAGTGACATCATTCTCCCACTACGAGAAAGGGACCAAGTGACCTCCTCTGTTGGATCATTTGAACTGGAACCATAAACCCCCTGAACATTAAATCTCACCAAATGAGGGTCAATCCATCCTCATCATCATATCCACTCATTATAATCCACACCCCAACATAGCCACTTTATGAACTTCATACCCATATATCTCAATGTCTATACTTTGACCCATCAACCTTTTACCCCCAATCTGGGATATTGCAGATTATGTATTCCTCATGCCACTTTATCTTAAACCAAACTTTGCACCCTAGATAATCTGTATGTTATTCCCTGATAACCAGAAACTTCTATGCTCAAACTCTGTTCACTATTTTTTTTAACATCATCTTAATACCTTGAGAATGTGGGCTGTTAGTGAAGCTTATGCATTGTGGTGGGGTGTATTTATATAGGCCTTGGTCTGGCTCTTTGCTCAGGGGTGAGTTTCACCTTTAATTTGTTTTCATGCATTTTAGCCGATTCAAAAGTCATCTGAATGGTTTGGGCAATCTTTCTTCCTTTCTTTATCTCTCCTCCAAATACAGTAAGTGCCAAAAATGAAATTGGAGATATTTGAGCAGCTGTGGAGTCAGCACCTTTGGTCAGATGTTAAATTTAAATGAAGGAAACATCTTAAACATGATCTTATGAAATGAGAACATCTGCTCTGTGTTTTTAAAAAGTTGGATTATAAAATGCTGTCACAAAAATGACTTATTTTGGAGCTAGCTACCACCAGACATATGAAGTCATTGCCCTACTTTCATTTGTAATTATAGAAGTGAGTTTATGATTCTAAATGTCAGAGGCTCTTTGGTATTTTGATCATGGCAGCTCACATTAGGCTGAGATTTGGCCAGAAAGTTACTAAATTGGATAGTTTGGGTATACTAGAGGTATGTATATTAGAGTATATGAGGACCTAATTATTCTAATTGTATGAATGTCTGTATCTAAATGAACTCTTGGACAGTGTATCAAATTCAGAGAAAGCACAGATATTCTGTTAGAGGGTCGCTTGCACCCAATCTTCTTCACTTCCATTTATACCATAATCACGAGAAGGAGAGAGAGAGAAATCATCAAGTTTCCCTAAGGTTCCATTTGAAAATAGATAAGAGCCAAGGCATTTCAAGTTAAATATTGTCACTGTGCCCTTAGCTCATGTCAGCAGGTTAATTAGAAAGTGTTATCTGTAAAATCATATCCTCTTCTCAAATCCTTATAAGAGCCATGCACGACAAGGTGATCTTAAAATGCAGGAGCATCTTAACTCAGGGTTTTATGGGATTAGATAAGAACTATAATGTTGTTAGAGCAGTTAGTTTATCTCCTATACCTAAGTTCCCCTTGCAGTTTGTCTATCTTGTCTATGAAAAGTCCAGTCACAGTACTATCTAGGCATTAAGGGCCTGATTTTCAGAGGTGTGGAGCACTCATAACTCCATTTAAAATCAGTGGAGCTGCAAATACTTCCCCCACCTCTAAAGATTTGGGGAGAAGGCTGTTAGAGAAGGTATTTTGTTGACTTCCTTCATAATACTGTTGAGCATTATTGGTGCATTCCACTACATTAGTGGTTCTCAGCCAGGGGTCTGGAGCCCCTGGCAGGGCTGTGAGCAGGTTTCAGGTGGTCCGCCAAAATAAACCAGAGAGGGGCCGGCGTTAGACTCGCTGGGGCCCAGGACAGAAAGCCCAAGCTCCACCACCCAGGGCTGAATCTGAAACCCGAGCAACTTAGCTTCATGGGGCCCTCTGTGGTATGGGGCCCTGGGCAGTTGCCATGCTTGCTATCCCCTAACGCTGGCCCTGGCTTTTAATCTACTGGGTATGCAGAAAAACAGTTGTTGTGATACAGGTGAGCTGTGGAATTTTTATAGCGTGTTGGGGGAGGGGAGGAAGCTCAGAAAGAAAAAGGTTGAGAACCCCTGCCCTACATGGTTGCTGCATTTCACCCCAATGTGAATGAAGTGATTGCTCTGTATATGTTTAATTTATATAATAAGACATGTTATACATATTTTACATATAATACCAATATTGGCGTGGGGCTATGGTATTATGGTCCTTCTCTGCTAGAGCAGCTCAGGGATGGGGCAGCAGAGCTGTTTCGACTGCAACTCCAGCCCAGAGTGGAGGATGGTTCACAGCCGCCTAGAGCAATGTGCTGCTTACTGCTCTTCTAAAAAAAAAGCCGTCTGTGTGCCTGACAGCATTGGATGAGCTATCCAGCTCAGGGCTGGACACCCTCTCCAGAGAAGCCACTTGGAGCTGTGGTGTGAGGCTATTACTCTAGCAGGATGTATGGCCTAGTGCTTTTTTCAGAGTGTTTGGAGGGATTCTGCTCTGCTGTTTGAGAGCAAGGAAGAGGTTCACCACACCCACTTCTCCCCACAACCTTTACTCAAGAGTCCTATATAGTGCACCAGGAGATAATTTCTGTTGGGTTATTTCAGTAGCTACAAGATTGATCCTTCAGGAATGGAAAGCTATGCTGATTGACACCAGCTGGAGATCTGGCCTTTACAGTCCATAAACTGGTACAGGAGTTTGTTTTACCTAGTAAATTTAAGTCCCAATGTTGCAAATTTAACTCCTGATCCTGGCTCTGTACAGTGCCTGATTTCAGTGGGGCTCCTCATGGGTGCAAGGATCCTCCTGGGCAGAATCAGCCGCAAAATGGGGCCCTTCAAGAGTACCATCCCATTTTAGTGAACATCCGAATGAATTTGAGGAAACATAGTCCTGTTCTTTGGGAAATGAAGAGTATTTATTTGGATAGATGTGTGCTGTCTAACAATTCAGCAGGCACCCACCTTAGACTCGGACCATTCAACAACTAAATTTACACTCTCATAATTGTCAATTTAATATTTTTGTCTGTAGTTTTCATGTATTATGCTATTATATGGTGGTGAGTCTGTATGTATACCTAGTTGGATTATTTTGACATTTTGGAAATTGAACTAAATCAGAAAAAAAATGTGAAAGATGAGAGCAGAAGGTAAATGTTTTTTAAGGCTAATTTCTGTTTAAGGCACTAAGATGGGTGGGCAAACTATGGCCTGGGGGCCTCATCCGGCCCTTCAGATGTTTTAATCTGGCCCTCGAGCTCCCGCCGGGGAGCAGGGTCCAGGGCTTGCCTCGCTCCGTGCGTGCTGTGGCTCCACGCGGCTCCTGGAAGCAGTGGCATGTCTCCCCTCCGGCTCCTACAGGTAGGGCAGCCAGAGGGCTCCGCACGCTGCCCCTGCCTCAAGTGCCACCTCTGCAGCTCCCATGGGCTGGTAACTGCAGCCCATGGGAGCTGCAGGGGCAGCGGCTGCGGACAGGGCAGCGCGCAGAGCTGCCTGGACGTGCCTCCACGTAGGAGTCGGAGAGGGGACATGTAGCTACTTCCGGGAGCTGCTTGAGGTAAGCACTGCCCGGAGCCTGCACCCCTGACCCCCTCCTATACCCCTCGGTCCCAGCCTGGAGCACCCTCCTGCACCCGCAACCCCTCATCCCCAGCCCCACCCCAGAGCCTGCACCCCCAGCCGGAGCACTCACCTCCTCCTACACCCCAACCCCCAATTTTGTGAGCATTCATGGCCCGCCATACAATTTCCATACCCAGATGTGGCCCTCGGGCCAAAAAGTTTGCCCACCCCTGCACTAAGATTACATGGTTCATTTCAGGTGCATATTGGGGCTTCTAAAGTGGCTTCATTTATTAACCTACCTTCATGCTAATTATAAATGAGAGACCAGTCATGGCAGGTTTTAGCTCGGCTAAGTTCTGTAGGAAGAATCCAAACGTCTCTAATGTGAGAAGGAAGAACCCATACAAAGCCTCATTCCCTCTGCAATCGGTAGCAGAGAAGAAACGTTCAAGTTAAATTATGTTCCTAGTTCTCATGAATTAGGGAGTCTGGAATGTTTTTAAAGGGGTTGTTGATGCAGGGGGCTAGATTCAACCTTGGTGAAAGTGGACCTGGCTCCACTGAAGTCAGTAGAATTGAGAATTTGGCCCAGGGAATCTGGTAGCCTTTGAGGTGAGGGGCAGGGGAAAGTGGTTTGAGAAAGGCAGATTGTGTGTACAGGGACTTCAAGGTTTGTTTACTCTTTCTGCAGTGGAACTCTGGATTACCACATACAACATGTTTTTGTTAGTTTCAGAGGTATCTGATATCTTCCATAAAGGCCTGATAGTTAGGAGAATTCTGAATTGCTTGACAGCCATAATAAAATGAGTCCTGTAATAAAATGAGTCCAGCTGTTCTTGAGAGCTGCATGATATTATGCCGAAAATTACTATTTTGTAGATCTTATTCAGAATTTAAATGTGACATTGTTTATTTTGCAGTATTAGTTAATTGAGTCTCTTGTAAAACACTTGTTAACACTGTATACAGACATGGTAATGCTGCATTTGTTTGGAATCTCTTTAGGTTGTACTGGTGAGATGGAATGAACCATTCCAGAAACTGGCAACCTGCGATGCAGATGGAGGAATTTTTGTTTGGATTCAATATGAAGGCAGATGGTCTGTGGAGCTTGTGAATGATCGCGGGGCACAGGTTGGTATGAACATTTTCTCTTTAGTCAAGAACAGTCAAATCATAAGAGGTTCAAAATGAAAAAGATGAAAATGCAAAGTGCAATCTTCCTTTTTTAAAAACATTTCTTTATTGAAATGACTAAACAGTTAGTGTCATAGAAATTCCTGCTACACTGAGCTGCTTGGGTTTTACAAACAGGATGAAATTTGCTATGAGGCAGAAAGCAAGGACAAGATTCACACTCTACTTAAGACTTCAAAACAAGGCTTAAGTAAGACTTCAGTGGGACTTTAGTGGCCCACTGGTGAATTTCACTCCGAGGGAACATGATAAAGGAATAGTCCTTTTTTATCCCATTGTATCTAGTTAACAATCTCAAGACGTTTTTGTTTTTTTTTTTAACTCTTGTTACTGGTTCTCAGTGTGTTAATGAGTTTTTCACTGGTTTTTCACAGTATGAAATTGCTAAACCCTCAATTAATTACCATCAGGAACTCTTCTGATTTCCATTGCCATGTGATAAAAATGCGCTATTCTAAGCAAGTTTTATGACACCGTATATTAATTCCATGTTAAACTTCTCCATAATAAATCATATATAAAATGGGTATAGTAATACTTGCAGGACAAACTTAACATTTGAAAAGCACTTTGAGATCTTGAGATGAAAGGTAGCATGAAAATGCTAAGTATTAATATTGTTGCTTTTTCATTGTTGGGAAACATCCATGAAACCACAAAACTGCTATAAGAGAAGAAATTAGCACATTAACATTTTACCAAAATTTCATACAAATCCGTACCACACTTCTAACTGTGTAGCCCTTTGGCTAAGCTATCCTCATTTTGTGCTATACAATGGTGCCTTAATTATAATAACTTGGAAATTATTGCATGATTAATGTCTAATCTCTTATCTATGTATATGTTAAGGTGAGCGACTTTACATGGAGCCATGATGGGACTCAAGCACTCATCTCCTATAGGGATGGATTTGTGCTGGTTGGTTCAGTCAGTGGACAGAGACATTGGTCTTCGGAGATTAACTTGGAGAGTCAGATCACCTGTGGCATATGGACTCCTGATGATCAGCAGGTAATGGCACTTACAGAAGGGAAATTAATATCTATATTCATGTTTTATGAAATAACACATCTAAAAATCAACATAAACAATAGAATGAGCACCTTGTAAGAACAGTTTCCCTCAGAACTGAGACTAAGAGCCCATCTAAATATTATGAACATACCTCAAAAGGTCATTCTCATGCACTAGACCCGGGGTCGGCGACGTTTGGC